TTTGGAGGTACATGCTGTAAAGGTGCCCCTCTGGGATCCCGCGTTGGCATTTGTCTCTGCGAGGAGGGAGCCATTTCTGCGCTCTTACGAGCCTTTTTTCTGTCTCCAGGATAGTTATCCATTCGCAGGAGAAAGAAAACTCTGATCCGGATTATATTCCCATCAACAGCCGCTTTAAGTGCGTGCAAGGTACGGACTCCCCTGGGGTGGGCTCTGCTGTGGTGGCCGGGATCCGCGGCTGTTTTATCAGCAAAACCCCAACACAGTGGCGTTTCTGGACCTCCCCCCTGAGCACCCGTGTAGGCTGAATGCTTCCCTGTGAAACTAAACCTGGCAGTTTGTGAACCCTGCTTCTTCATCGTCCCGGTGGGTCGTCTTTCCGTGCCAGCCTGCGGTCGTGAGGGTCTGGGCTGGTTCAGGCGCGTGGTGGGCTCAGTGCCAGGGCCAGCACAGTCGCCACTTGGCTGTGGTGGCTGGAATTTGGTGTCTGCTCCTGTGCCTGTCTGTCTGTCCTCTCCATGATGGCAGGAGTTGGGAGCTTTAGGCTGATTCCTGAGGTTTAGATCGAAACTCCTGTAAGGCCTGGCAAGCTGTCAGGTCCCCGTGGAACGGGAAGGAGCTTTAGGCCTCCTCTTGGAAGAACTGCAATAGCAGCGTGTGTCCCTGGGGCAAATGCTTTTGCAGGAGCGAAAGCACCTTTTCCTGGGTTAGCCCGTACCCCGCCATGCCGTTTGGTGTGGCTCTGCCCATCCTTTCTGCTGTCTGGAGAAGCTCTGAAGCTCATTGCCAGGTTGGGGTTTCCCAGAGTAGCTGCACTGACGTGGAACAAACCATCCAGGTGTGCGAGAACTCTGAATGATGGGAATCTCCTCTGTGACACTTGGATTACGGGAGGTGACTCTCCAGGCTGTCCAGATGTGACTGGAGCCATCGTTAATAGCACAGGTGTAAATCAAAGCTGTTGGCTCCTTTGTCAGGACTCTTGTGGCCAGTAGCAGGCAGCTTGCCCTTGAGTACTCCGCTGCTGCAGCATTCCCTGTGAACTCTCTTGGTCCTGTTCTTCTCTTTTCCAGAGGCGGAAGAGACGTTACTGATCGACATAGCTACAAACAGTAAGTTTTATAACCGCAGTCACGCAGCTGAAGCTCCCTCCAGGAGACGGGCTGCCTGCGGGGCGCTGCGGCGTGCTCGCTGTACCTGCCGCTGCATAACCTTCCCCCGTGCTTTGTGCTTGTCCCTCGATCGAGCGGGGATTGTGTTTCCTCTAACGCCGTGCTCTGGCTCTTTTAGAAATCGGTTGTCATGGCAGACGTGGTCTTAAATGCCCAGACTGGATTATTGGCAGTGGGTCAGACTGTAACTTCTGAAACCTTTTCCCAAGGCCCCACGTTGCCCTGGGCTGTCCTCATCTCCCTTCCCTTTCTTCGACCCATACTTGAGCCCAGGTTGCCGCCTGCCTTTTTCAGTGTTGACAACGCTCTGTCTTGTCACCGGTTCTGCCTTCCCTTTCCAGACATTTTTCTTGCTACTTTGAGAGCTCCTCTCTGCAAGACCACGGCAGGAGAAGTGTTCCTAAAGCCAGGACAGTGGGACTGGCGATACCCGGGGCGGGGGGGCTCTCGGAAGCCCAGGGAAACTAGCTTAGGGGCGGGTTTCCAGTGGAAACGATAGCTGGAAGTTGGCTTTTGTGGATGAGCTCAAAGGACACCTAGAAAGCCTGGTCGCTCTCGGGTCACAGTAGCTGTGAGCCCGCCTTGGCTGACCCCGTGAGTCTGTGTTTGTGCCCGAAGCAGGCTGTAAGGTCCGAATACAAGGTGACGAGACGGTGGAGCGGCTCTTCGAAATCCCTGACGAGGAGCGCTGCTTAGGGTTCCTCTCCGAGGTGCAGAGCATACAGGAAGGTGAGCAGAGCTGTACCTGTGTCGGTGAAATCCACTGCCTGCCAGCAGTCTCTGACAGGGCTGACTTTTTTTCCAGCCCACCTGAAAGCTTCTCTTCCTGACCCTAAGGACCCGGCCGGCTGGCATCAGGTGGAGAAGAACCTCCCGGGTCTGTCGCAGGCCTCCTCCTCGGGTACTGACCCGCCTCTCACTTTGTGCGCTCTGTGGTCTGATCGGTGACGGGGCCCTCGGGGCCAGGGAGCCGTGTCTGACGCTGCACTCGGCGGCCCGGCCTCTGCCCGTTTCCTCACTTCACGTCGCCCTGCGCGAAATAAAGCATCTCGGTCCTTGGTTTCTGTTGCCCTGGACCGTTCATTCCTTCTCGAGTGCTGTCTGCTGCCCGGTGCCTTCGTTTGGGCATGCGAAGCTCCCGCTGGCCTTGGCTCCTGGTCAGCGCTCCTTTCTCCGAGCCGTCAGAGCTGATACGTTGCTGTTATCATTTGCTTTTTCGCTTTCTGTGGAGTTACGCTTTTTCCTTCCTGATCTGAGCGGTTTTAAATGGTTTCTCAGGGCATCATGCCTGTTTTCCTTCATCACAGGAGCTCTGGGGTTTGAGGATGACTTCAACACTCTAAGCCTTGAAGAGAAAAGAAACATGCGAAACCACCAAACGGGATCTCGCCGGGAACCCCCACCTCCTCCCGTGCCTCAAAATAGGCAGTAAGTAACTGTTCCCTTTTTTCTTTCTCTTCCTAGACAGCAGAGCCGGCGCTAATTCTGCTCTCGCTTCCTTCCTAGATTTCACCGGGAGAGAGAAGGTGCCTCGAGAGACCAGCCCAAAGTGACCAACACCATGCGCAAGATGTTTTTGCCCAGCACCCAGTCGGGACAGAGAGAAGGCCTCATCAAGCACGTGCTTGCCAAGCGGGAGAAGGCGTACGTCAACCTGCACAACTTCAGGTCAGAGCTGTGGCCGGGGCGCAGCCTGCGGGGAGGCAAAGCTGCTGGGTCTCCTCTGGGAGCTCGAGTCTGGTCCGGGTTTGAAACCGGGCCGCCGCGGGTGCCTGGCCAGGAGCCAGGGTCGGTGCGGGCTGAAGGTCAACACGTGCCTGCGGGGCAGCTTCTCCTCTGGCGCCTTTTCCCCTGCTGTGTCTGATCTCGTGACCCTCGAGTAAGGCTGAGGCAGCTGGGCAGGAGGAGGGTGAGGGCGGCGTCCCGCCGCACCGTGCTCGTGTTGCCCCGCA